TTGACAGTGAGCAGGGCCTTCTAGTCCAGGAACAGGCACAACTGGCACATAAGATGAATCTGTGCAAAGGCCCCCCCTGGCCTTGGCTACCCCCTGTTCAAGCAGGAACTCTGAATTGAGAAGAATCCTCAGATTATGCAACAACTCTGGGGGAGTGTTAACCCATGTTAAAGTTAATGAAACAGAATTTAAATATGAAAAATCACTGGATTCAGGAAGCCCAAAAACCCAGAGCTGCTCAATCCTGCCAGGGTTGAGGTGCAACCTGTTCTCCTACATCCAGACCATCACAACCTCCGGGCACTGGGTAATAACCTGAATAGCATCACTTGCTTGGCCAGGTGTGGAAATATAAAGCTGAGTATCATCAGCATATTCATATTTCACCATGTGCTGACAGATTACCTCACCCAGCAGTTTAACGTAGATATTAATTAGCAGTGGGGAGAGAGTCAAGCCTTAGGCACCCCACATAATGACCTAGAGCAAGACTTGCCACCATTTAATTGCTTGTTTTATTATATGCCACCCAGAGTCACATTTGTGAGATGGGCGGCTATATAAATTGAAGGAACCACTGCAAAAGAATGCCCTCCAACCCCCAAAGCCAGTCAAGAAGAATACCATGATCAATGGTATCGAAAGCCACTAAGAGATCTAGAAGGGCAAAGGCAGATGTGCTACTTCCATCTCGAGTCCTCTAGAGGTTATCCACTAACATTACAAATGCCATTTTGGTAGTACAAACACAACTGAAAATGGTCCAGATAATTCATTTCTTCCAGGCCCCCAGAAGCTGTGCATCTATCACTTTCTCAACAACCCTTCCTAAAAAGGGAAGGCTGGAAACTGGACCAAAATTGTCCAGCAGTGTTGGCTCCAAGGATGGCTTCTTGGAGACAAGCTGGGCCACTGCCACCTTTAAAGCAAGTGGAACCACCCCCTCCCACAAAGAAACATGCACCACTGCTTGAACTCAACTACATGCCAACTCCTGGTTGGACATGGATCTAAAACACTGGTGGCAGAGATCATAATTCTAAGGACCCTGTCCACTTCCTCAGAGCTAACCAGGTGAGACTCTTTCCAGATAAATGGGCAAGATGGTTCCTCAGTCCCTCCCATAATACTTCCTGTAGAATAATTCTTAGGAGATACTTCACTTCAAATATTTAAGATCAAATAACTTGAATAATAATGAAACAGAAACATAAAAATACAATACCTGATATCCAGGTAAGGATCTAACAGCCTCCACAACTGCTAGAGACACTAAATGTTGAATAAATGGAATCCTTTGTCCCAATTTTGAAGACAAAGGAATAGTAATATGCAAAGTTGACAGAGCAGCTCCCACAGGACTCAACCAGATATTTCCACCACGTCCTTAAAAAAATGGAAACAGACAATTAAACACTGTTTACATGCAAGTAATATTTTGCTAGCTGGAAAGTATTTCATCAGAAGATTTAAGAAAATCTGGTGAAAACGGTAAGCAAAAAACAGAAATAAAAAAGTAACTAAAGTATTCCACCTACAGATTTATAAAAAATTTAAAAAGTTTGCCATTTTGATTTGTGGCAGGTTTATACCAATAAATTTGTTTACCTTGGTAGAATATTTTCAGTATAGTAGAAAATGGGTGGAGAAATTTTAAGATATACAAATACTGATAGAAAGATTAATAATATACAGTCTGTAGAGAGAAATGAATATTTGTGAAAACGGGAGAATAAGTAAGGATGGAATTGCAAAACAAATATACAGTGGTGCTTAAAAGTTTTGTGAACCCTTTTGAATTTTCAATATTTCTGCATAAATAAGACCTAAAACGTAATCTGTTCTCCACACAAGTCCTAAAACTAGATAAAGAGAACCCAATTAAACAAATGAGTCAAAACGATTATACTTTTTCATTTAGTTGTTGAGGAAAATGATCCTCAACATTGGGTTCCTTTTATCTAGTTTTAGGATGTGTGGAGAATAGATAACATTTTGGGTCATATTTATGCAGAAATTTGAAAATTCAGAAGGGTTCACAAACTTTTAAGTACTACTGTACGAAAGAAAAGGTAATAGGTTGAGAGGAAGAGCATGGCTGGATGGATTTGATGAGATCCTGAAAAAAGAGAAAAGTGACAAATCTAAAGAATAAAAGGCAGTGGAAGTGGCATATGGCTGTGGTGGATGCAAAGATAATTTGTAATGATAGGAAGATATGGAGAAGTATAGTGAATAGTGTTGATGTAAATGATTTTTAGCTGGGTTTCTTTTTCTTTTTATCATCTAGTGCCTTTTATTATCTATCCTTATTTCTTACTCTTCTGCACTCTGCATAAAGTTGTTTACTCTGTATGAGAGTTAATACTCACACCCTCTGCAAAAAACAGTCTGACAGCAAACTTGACTGTTACAAGAACAAAGGACTGATGAAGACAGAACTGCCTACTCAGATTAGGAGGTCAAGTAGTCTTTTATGTAGGGTGAGGAGAAAAACTAAATACAAGAGGGTTGGAACGTTGTTTCTATACATAGGGCTTACTCTTGCATCACAGCAGTTGCTGAAATTCTCTGATTACATTTTTCTACTTTTTTCAATCAATTTTAACTACCTGTAGGTCCTGAATTTCTTGTGAATTTGCCTAAATGGTTCATTTATGCCTGTGGGATGAAGTCTGACACCCAAAAAAAGAATGATGTGATGCTTATGTACATATGTAATTCAAACAGAACTGGAATTAAATTTATATATACTGTACAAGGCTAAAGCATCAAAATGCAGAAATGTATCAATACCATTAAAAAACATCCTTCTTTCCAGCAGGCCCTCTAATGCTTCTTTACCTCCCTTTACCAGCACTGCAAAATTAGCATAGTGCTGAAGATATTCACTCAGCATAGAAAAGCCTGCCAGTTCAAAACTCGGCATAAACTTTTTTAAATTACAGTTTTTCTTTTATTAAATAGGTGGTTTTTTCACTTTTTTTTTTTTTTAAGGTTTGGGGTATTACTATTTTCACCCAGTCACCCAACTTAGAAGGGTTTCACCCCCCACAGCTCCCAAACAACTATCTGGGCTGTCTGGGAGCAGGGATGAAACCATTCTACCTCAGGTGACTGAAAAAAATAAGCCTTTAGAATTATTTAAAGAGGAAAAAAAACTCTTGTGGGAAAACCATCTATTCATAAGAAGAAAAACTGTAATAATAAACAAACAACATGGCTGCTGGGTTTCAAAATGACAATTTCTCTATGGTAAACCCAGGTTCTTAACCACAGGGCTATTTCAGCAGTGCTGGCAAAGGGAGGTAGAGAAACATTAGAGTGTGTGACAAGTATTGGCTCATTTGAAGGGGCAATCCTTTCTCTGCAAAGTAGTTAATGAAACACTGAAGTTAGCCTGTAACAAATAGAAGTGATCTAGCTAGGAACACTTTGATTATTTGTCATCAAGTCAGTGTCGATTCTTAGCAACTACATAAGACAGATTTTCTCCATGACAGTTAAGGTAACATAATAAGGAAAAGTGTACTTCAGAAGTGGTGCATAAAAATGCATATTGAGGTCACTTTGAAGGTGAGTGGAAGATTAACATAGGGTGATAACAATTTCTAGATGACCCTCTAGAAATGGTTGCTCAATCATTCTACTGATGTGGCAACAAGACAGTATGGATAAGCCCTCTGTCTATGCCTGTTTTTTTAGTGTTCAGGTGTATGTCTGGGTCAATGCTATGATGTCAATGCACATACAAAAGGGCTTAGGCTTTGATTGTGTGGTAGCCACTATTTTGACTTTTTTGACTGAGTGGAAACACTTGGTCTGTGTAATTCTTTTAGTCTACATATATACGGATTTGTTTGTATTTGGGTATATCTATACATCTGTAAAAATATGCAGAATAAAATGCTTAACTATATTCTTCACACATGGGCTAAAAGGGGAAATCTGTATGTCTCAGATAAAGTTTGTTGATATCATGAACAGTAGTAATCGAAAACAGAGGGTTGTATATATCATCCTAAGGATTCCATTTACAATATAGGATTCCAAGTCATAGCTTGAAAACATTCATTTAAAGAATATCAAAGAATAGTAATTGTTCCTCTGATATTTTAGGGGTTAGCTAACAGTAATTTTAGACATGGAGAAACATCAAATGCTGGATACATTGCCACTTCTGAATCTAGTTAGTGGTACTTTTTATCATGGTAGCTTTCACATCTGCAGGATGGTTATGAAAAAATGCAACTTAATTTCTTGCAAAACGTTGTATGAAAACTGTAACTGCAAGCCTAAGAAATTTTCTGTAATAATTCATGATAGTTTTATTCAGCAGATCTGTGATTATTTTAAAGGTAGTCTGCCATGAGTTGAATTCAATTCCTACTGGCAATGTGGACATATCTTAATTACTCAAAATTATAGAGATAATGATTGTTTTGTGATATTGCAAAAACTGAAGCTAGATTTTGATTTAGCCAGAACAGATTATCCACTTTGGATGAGTATGGTTAGTATGGATATGATTAGTATTACTAATCATTTCATAATACTTTTCTCTACACTCACTGTAATTATATCAACTTACCCTTTCCTTGAGTTTGTTGAACTGCTATTGCTATGAGACCCATTTCCTGTGGCATCTTGTACATCAATCTGCAAATTACAATGTTAAAAAGTGAATTATTGCTAGAATGCTGTATGGGCTTAAAAAAAAATACAGAGATTTTTACACTGCTTGAACTTTAGGTCAAAAGGATCACAGAAAAAAATTCAAATGAAAATATCACAGTTATGACTCACAAGATACCATTAAGATACATTTAAATACATGTAGCATACTTCCTCCATTTATTTTTGAACCATTCATTCTCACTAATATATATCTCTGTCTTTTGTAAGTGACAACTGGCAGTTCCAAACATTTGTTTCTACTTAAACAAATCTCACTGCTATACTCCTGAACAGAGCAATAGCAGCAGTTTCTGATTATTCAGAAAATCAGAATGCTGGTATAAAGCAGTTTAAAAGAGACATTATCCCTTGAGAACTAATTATGATTTAACTGCAGTAAATAAATCTACACCTTCTGAGAATGCTAGAGAACACTGGCTTATTTTGGGCTTCTGCTCTGTATTTAGAAATGTTTCACATAGTTTCCCAGCTTTCCTTTGGGAGATAGGTAAAAGCTAATGTGAATTCAGATCACAAAATGAATCAATATTAATTTAAACAAATGTTGCTGTAAAAATATTCTTTAAGTAGCTTTGGTAGTACCTGGATAATGCTAAGCCTTTATAATAAAATTTTAATCTTAGGATGGAGGGAAAAGAAAATCTATTTAACAGAAAAAAAAAGCCCTGTTGCTAGACATACCAGACAGACTTAAATTATGAAAACCTGAAAACTCCACTTTCACACAGAAAATGTATGCAATTTAACACAGAGATATATACGATAAACTATAGAGGAAAGGATAGTACACAAAATAACCTCTGAGTTTTGTAAAATTCAAGAATTCCTGGAACTTGTGTTACAGACACTGAGATGAAGCAAAGTATAACCTCTGCTGCTCACTAAGAATTAATGGTTTCTGATTTACTCCTACCTATATCTAAAGAGCGATGTTTTATAAATAAAGGGCTAGATAGGTATAAAGCATACAGGACATGATAAAAATGATTTTGAATGTATCTCCAGCATGGCTCTGTTGTTCATATAAGTAATTATAAAAGGAGTGAATTATTCTGAAAGCCATTAATAACTACAAATACCTGAGCTATAGATGTAGTAATGCAATGTTTTCTTACTTCAGTGCAAATATCAGTTGGAATAATTTTTCTAAGCAATTGCCAAATGTTCTGACATTAAACAGAGCTTGATCACTGTTTCTCTTGGCCACCCTGAACTGCTTATTGAGACTATCCACCATCAACCATTACTATTGGGCATATAGTTTGGTTGCTTTGGAAACTGGAATAAAGATTCTGATAAAATTTTGTATTTATGTAGATGCAACATTATCTCCTAAAAACTGTGTAAGTTTAAACTGAACATTATTTCAATGTCACATTTGTGTTACAATAAAAGAAACCTAATTTAAATATGGAAATATTGCAAGAGAAATAATATAGGTTTAGCTGAAGCAACTCTCCACCCCCCGTCAAGGCTCTACATTAAGAGGCAAATCGTATGCCACAAGACTGAGGAAGAAAACTGACAAAATAAAAACAGTTATGATATCAGGCAGAGCATTTAGAATAACCAAGTGATTAAAAAAACATGCATGTAGTTGCTAAGTGGTTTGGCTGAAGTTACAAGAATATGTTAATGACATGGCTGGGCTCCTGTGCTACTAAAGGCCAAGAGGAAATTCTGTAAGAAGGAATACAATTTAGAGAAGTTGCTAATACTTAGACTGTGACAGTGGAGACAGAGAAATTTATTTATGCTATCTAAGATAACTCTAGGGGCATTATCACATGGCTCCAAGGGCATAATAAACTCCTTGTGCATTGTGTATTTATTCCTAATTTTCAAAATTAGGAATAAATACACAATTCAGTTTTATAACTGAAATGAGCAATTGTAAACAATTATCATTCTAAACTACCTTGACATGGTATTGTGTCTATGGAGGTACCAAAAAAGCAACATTTTTCTAAACTAACTTAGGCCAAATACAAGGCAAGTTTGTGTTCCTTACAGGATTCATATCTAGTATATAAACGTTGACTGTATTTATTTATTAATTAAAATGCTGATTCTGCAATCATTTCATATTATGATATTCTAATTATGAATTAAATTATGTATATGTGTGCTACATAACAAAATAGTTAAATTATTCTACTATTTATGAACCCTAAGACAATAGAAGAACAAAAAAGAGGAAGCTTACAGGTTTATGTTCTAGGAACTAAGTAAAGCCTCACACAATTAATTTATTTAACTTGTTTATTTTTTTTAGAAATTATTCATTTATTTAAGCAATAAATTGTCCAAATAACATAATGGAATTCTAAAATTTATGTACTCCATTGGAAATTTCTACTAACTGGTAGTATAGAAATTGTAACAGCTGGAGTCTTTTGAATATTAAATTAGTACTTCAACTTAATTTCCAGTTGCAATTTTATATTAATATTGTAGGAATTATGATTTTCTACTACAGTCAAAAGAAAATAGGTAAACCAGGCAGAACTTTTCAACCTGCTGCATCAAACCCATTGAACACTTTCCACAAAAATGCTTGTACCACAGACGGAACTTTTTCTTAAGTAAAACAAAATAATTAAATGAAATTCCACCAAGTTCAGTAATGTTGAGACTTCTATAGCTGACTTTTCTTATGGCTATTTAAAATTGAAAGTAGAACCACAGAAACTCTGTTAATGATCTGAAACTCTGTTAATGATCTATAAATGGAATTGATGCTGCTGTCTTAAACACCTATCCTGTTTTGTTATGATTATTAGGTAGTATTAGGATAAGATTACATTCTAGATGGTTTTAAAGAAACAAAACTGGGGGACAGAAGCAACTTTTACTATTTATATTTTGAAGAGTTCAAAATTATTCTCTTTGTATGACTTGTACTTTATAATGCATCTCAGAAGTGAGAGAATTTATACCAAATATATTGCATATTTCGTTTTGTTCATGTTTTTATTTATGTAATTTATGTGGCTGCCCATCTCACGACAGTGAATTTGGGAACATTGTGGGGCATTTATGGGTATTTAATAATAGAAATGATTTGAAGTGATTTGTCTTCCAGAGGCTTTCTGTTTCTGATCCCATCTTTAATTGCTCCCAGTACATATCACAGGCTGGAAAATACCAACTCTGTATGAAGTCAACACCTTTCCAAAGATTTAACCTGTGACCTGTGAAAGCTGCATACCCATGCAGTAATATTTAATTCTTACATTTATTAGAAAATAAGCATCAGTAGAGATGAACTTATAATACAACATTTTTGAGTAAACATACAAAGTATGTCAGAAAATTGGAAACACAAAAGTTAGAACTCCAATACCAAAAAAGAAGTGGGGAGGGGGGTACAAGTACAGTATGCCTGAATTTCTAGTATACTGGGGAGTATGTGTGCTATGTATGTGGAGTACGATTTCATTATTGACAATATTTGAAAAAAAAAAATTAGATACAACTGGATGCAGTTTTCAACAGAGAAGTTTTGGGGGGTTTGTTTGAAAATAGACTTCCTTTTGTATCATTTCATTAGTGCATCCATGACTGGATTCTCCATTGCAGAAAGAGAACATAAGAGAAGTAACATCAAGTATCAAAGATGTAGAGACACAACTTATATAATAGATGTGACATATTTATTTCCAGACAGTTTAATACATTGTTAGTGAACTATATAAGCCCTGCAAGTCTAAATCCCTTTTTCCTTACAATAAAATTACATAAAATAAATCTATTATGTAAAATCATAACTGGAAGTAATGAAAACAATGAGTTGAAAGCTGCAAATTCCATGCATTCAGTTCTGTAAGAGTGAACTGGATCATACTTACAATGCAGTATGCTTCCAGCCATACATAAGGTCTTCAGACAAAAATTGTTAAAAATCAAATCAATCATTCATTTTATACTGGTACCTATAACGTAACAAATATGTAACAAACTGGTAGTATAAAAATTTGTTCCTCAAATTAAGGACATCAATGGGACTTCAGCCCTGTATCTATTTCTGGATGGAAACCCTTGGACAATATATGGTAAAAGCTGCAATGCAAATACAGAAGTTCCAAAACAAACATCAAGTTTTCCAAGATACAAATATACAGCGGCTTTATTCAATTCATTTTAATTAATATGCAAAATAATATTTCCCTTTTTGCAATGCTCATACACATTTTTATATATTCAAAGGAAAATAAGCAAACACAATATGTATCAAAAGGGGAAAAAAAAATACTGCTACTATATAAGTCCAAAATGAACATAAATGTTCTTGGTCCAGTCTGTTCTTCACTTTAGGGGAAAAAAAAAATGTTGGGCTAATTGCTAGCCCACAACCAAAATTCTGAAGTAACTATTACTCATGACTATAAGTCTTCAGTATAAATTTCTTTGTAAGAAACATTGCAATCAATTAATGTGCTTGATATTCTTGTAAACAAAATAATCAAAACAATCACAAATAAAATAGTTCAAAAAAGAAAAAAAAAGAAAAAAACAAAGTAGCCCATTTGTTTCTGGTAATATAAAACACTCATTCAGAAAAAGAAAAGGCCAGCTATACGACTTTATAGAAGAAATAGTACTTGATTTGAACTGTGTATAAAGCACGTATTTGCTCCTGTATCTGGTCTTGGGGTTGAGAAGACTTACTTCTAGTTAAACCATATAAATAGTTCTATCCGATGAATGTACGTAGAACTGAACCCTACTGAATTTAGCGAGTATAATATGCACCGGATTGCATCCTAAATATGTTTTCTATCAACTAGCAAAATCTGAAATAAAGCTAGTTCTTTTGCTTTTCAACTTTTTCATGCCAGCAAATTATTTGCTTTTAGAAAATAGATAATAAAACTTGTTTAACATACAACCTACTTCAAGCCATTGTTTCTCATTCAGGTTTCTGGCTGATCAAAACCAGAGTTTGGTTATTTGAACAT